TTTTATATTTAATAAAATTGTGTTTTTAATTTTTATTATAAAAAAATGTGTGCACTCTAAAGCAGTAAACTTAACACTATATGAAACTTTCTGTGTATGTTGTTATAAACAAGAAGAGGAAACTTCATGAAATATAATAGATGTTTCTGATTATATTGTTTGCAGGTACGTCAAGAATTAGGATTCCTCCCCGTGAAAACATATGTTCCCAAAAAATATCAATGGCATGTAGTCCACCTTACAAACGTGTTAGGGCTTTGCGTCTTTTTGATTCACCAGCCACCCCAAAAACTTTGATGGAAAAGAGTGCAATGCATACTCCATTCCCTTCCAAGTGTACTAGACTATTTTCATTAGATAAACCTAGACCTTGTAATTACCAAAATAAATCTGACAAACCTGCTGCCAATGTAAACCCTTTCACACCAAATGGAATGTTAATAACTGCAAGGAAACGTACTAGATCTAAACGTAGTCTCAATGGGTAAGTTTAAGTGTAAAAAATAATAATACAACAGTTAATTAAAAAATGAAAAGCTAATACTCTTTTGATGTAGTGTTAATGTAGCATATTTCTTTTTTTCCAAATATTAGTTCTCCTGACATTCAAATTCCGAAATTCGATCTTGCCGATTCCGAAGATTCGGATAATGAAATAGAACAAGCAACAAAACGCGTGGCATTGCAAGATTCGAATATACCTAGATATCATCAAGAGTTCCATGAACTTGGTTTAATTGGGACAGGTGAATTTGGTTCAGTTTATAAGTGCATTAACAGATTAGATGGATGCACTTATGCTATTAAGAAAAGTATTAAACCTGTGGCTGGAAGTATTAATGAAAAGAATGCCTTAAATGAAGTATATGCACATGCTGTACTTGGTAAACATCAGCATGTTGTGAGATATTATTCCGCATGGGCTGAAGATAATCACATGATTATTCAGAATGAATATTGTAATGGAGGTAGTCTAGCAGATGCAATTGTCAACTTAGAGAAAGAGAAAAAGCATTTTACCGAAGCGGAAATGCGACAATTGTTATTGCATGTTGCTGAGGGTTTAAGATACATTCACAGTATGCAATTAGTACATATGGATATAAAACCTGGAAATATTTTTATTTCCAAAGAAAAAAGGTTACTCGCAGTCAATTATGATTCAGCTGATGATGGTTTTGATGAAGAGGAAACTATAGAAGAAGAAATTACATACAAAATAGGAGATTTGGGACACGTTACGTGTGTCAATAACCCGCAAGTTGAAGAAGGAGATTGTAGATATCTGCCAACAGAGATTTTACGCGAAGATTTTAGTCATTTACCAAAAGCTGATATTTTCGCGTTGGGGTTAACCGTTTACGAAGCAGGTGGTGGCGGTCCATTACCTAAAAATGGACCTGAATGGCATGATATTAGAAACGGGAATTTAAAAGAATTGCCACAGTATAGTCGTGATCTTAATGAATTACTGAAAGTAAGTTTTTTCTTGGAAAAATATATTTTTCATACAAATATGAATACAACAAAACAATTTAATAAATTTCTTTTTTTTTTTTGCAGTTAATGATCCATCCAAATCCCGAAATGAGACCTTCGCCAGTATGCCTTATACAGCATAGAGTATTGTGCCCATTTGGAAATAAAACGAAAGCTCAACTTCGGCGGGAACTGAACGCGGAAAAGTTAAAAAATGAAATTTTATCGAAACAGTTACAAGAAGCGGCTAAATGTCTAAAAACAATTGCCCCAAATGTGGCGGCTATTAATAATACAATGAATGCTGGAGGCTATAAATTAAGACCTACACCAACTAGAACTTCGTCTCGAGTAGTGGGTAAAAAAGTCAACAGAAGTAATAGCACTACAAACTTTTGAATGTTCTGTGTTATATTTGTGTCAGACTAAAGGAAAGGGGCGGTAAAGGTGCTTAAGGAAAAAAGAATTTGTTTAAGTGCCTTGACATTGTGATATGAATTAACTCTAGTTTATAGGTAAAACTATGATCAATATTTGATAGTATGAAAATACAATACTACACAGAGTGAAATTGTACGATAGCCACGGGTATACTCTTGCAGCGATGAAGGTATTATATTAATAAAGTAAGCTATAAATGACTACAAATGAAAATTATAAACAGGTAATTTCCCAACTATTCATATTTAACATGTCATCACTAGTTAAACTTTTAGATGGGTAATATAGTAATATGATACTACTCATTTGTATATTACGTTTGGTTTTTATGTAAGATAAAAAGTAGATACATAAGGTTTGGAAGAAATCCAATTATTATTGCCAGTGTTTATCTTAGAAGGTGTATAAAATTTAACAAGATCTATTTCTTTACACAGAATAATCTTATTGAATATTTCCTCACGTGCCTTTAATGTTCTTGTTACAAATTTTTACTTAACTACTTTGTATAATTCCAATATACATTCATTTTACAATATTACTATTTTTTTAGTCTAATCAAGCAGTATTACAAAAAGAGAAAATATTGAAAAAGAGGAATGAAAGTGTTTTTAATATCAGTTACTAGTTAATGTTTTGACATATCATTGTGTGATATTTCCGTTTTCCCGTTTTTGTTCGAGAATTACTTCAGTAAATAATTGGGGAATACTAACAAAAGACTGTGACAAATTGTTTGTTACAAATACATTCTATTTTTATATTTAGATATATTCATATAATAACGGTTCGGTGTTGTGTATTGTCTAGTGTTTAATTATTAATACTAATCTCTGTATTATCCATTGTTTGTTACTATCAAATTCCCGTGGAAATGTTCAATAGTTATATTTTTCCTCATTTTTCCTCGTTGTAATTTTCATACTCAGACGAAAGACTGCTTCTTTAAACATATATTGAATCATTTTTATATCTTTTCACAATGTAAACTCAATATCTTCTAGAGATGTGTGTACACATCTTTTAAATCAATAATAAAAAATCGATATTATATATTTCTTATATACGTTATATGCTCTTGATAACACATCGAGATAAACTCCTTTTTTTTCTTTTTTTTTTCTTTTTTTTTTAGAACTGATGACTGACTGTAGAACTTCATCTAAGCATAATTCCTAGCCCTAGAACTTACAATTTCACTCTGTGTATTCTTTATATAAGAGAATATCAACTCTTAAAATCACAACTGATTAAAGAGTGAATCTTTGAACGTAAATGTTTTAAGTTTAAATTATTTTTATAATATTTTTTTATAGTCCTATCGTCTTTGGCATGCTCTGGAATTCGTATTATACAATTTTCCCTTGTGTTTTTACTATATATATATATATATTGGATAAATACTGATGTATAATAATCCGCGTTTCTAGCGTAGGTGGTACTACCGATTAGGTGTTTCTTATTTTATTTACTAATACAAAAATTTACAAAAAATGTATTCAGTTCATTACAAACATATATCTAATTTAAAGTACTACAAATTTTTCGTGTTGGACATATGGTCAAAGAACTTTTCTACTTCATATCTTTTTCCTTAATCATATGCTGTTTTTTGATCAGGCATGACAAAAATTAATGTTTATCACGATATAATGAATCCAGAACCCTATATCACATGAATGCATTCTATAAATATCCCTGTTCCTCAAAGTAACATCAATTAGATGTCTTATGTACAATTACTTGGCTTCTAGCTAATAAACAAATCAAAGCCATTGTACCTTGGTTTAATATTCTTGTGTCACTGAGCATGCTAATATGTGATTTTTTTATATATGCGTTGCTGAAACATTTCAATGTTTGCATTTAAAAAAAAAAAGAAGTATAGCATGTGTAATACTTTGCATTACTGTTTACAAAAATTGAAAGATCTGGACTGTAGTTTTTAGTATCATGAGTTTTTTTGTTGTAGTTTGCCCTACAAACTTCTTGTGTCTTTTATTTGCCATATATAAATTTGGTCTTTATACAAGGTCCATTAAAAATTTTCTGTTGTGTTGCCGAAATGTTGAAAGGTAATGCGATCAAATATTAATTCTTCTGAGTGTGTAACCTCGTTTACAAACCAATGTTATGTATTTAGTCATAGGCCGCGCTATGTATAAAAGTTACGAAGTTTTGTAAGAAAAATGTGAATAATTGATAAGGGAACTATTTAAGTTCCAAACTGTGTGCCAGAAAGGGTGGACCCCGATTGATGGCAGTAAGGTATTGTGGTAATGTGCCACGTTTACATGCACTGTGAACTGTTGTTTCATTAAT